AGTAAAAGTGAGATTAAAAAAATTATTTTTACAGACTCAAATCCCCTCGATTTTTTTGATACTCGTAGATATAGATTGAAACAAGAAATATGTATTTTTTTATAATTGTTGTTTTTATGTACATTATAAAAGTGAAACAAAAAAAATCCGTTTTTGTGTTTCGATGTATACATTATCAAAATAATAAAAAAATCCAATTTTGAGAGAAATGAGCTACAATGATCCTTATAGCACGTCATCCGTTATTGTTTTATCCATTTACTACTTGATAACATTAAACTATTAACTTCTGCTTTTTTCTTTTTCTTATAATTGATATTTTGTATACTTGTATATTTTGTATACATGAGTATATATGTACATAATATGTATATTAAAACATTACAAATTTTATTTAAATTTTTTAAATTGATATTTTGTATACATGAGTATATATGTACACAATATGTATATAAAACGTTACAAATTTTATTTAAATTTTTTAAATTGAAATCGTAAATTTAAATATTATATTATTAAATATTAAATAATTTTTCCCAAGTAACACAATTACGTTTACAATATATTAAAATTTGTGTAATAATCGTTTAAAATTTGGTGCGTTTTTTAAACTATTTGAAAAATGTTATAAAAACGTTTTATAAAACGTTTATAACGTCTATTTAACGTTCTTTGTTTTTATTAATTTAAAATACCGTTTTTATATGAGACATTTCGATTGTTTAATGTATATGTAATTAATAACATCTATTTAACGTTTTTATTCACCATAAAAATATCTTGGCTGAACGTTTTTTAAAGTAAGGTATCTGCTTACGGTTATCTATTGAAATGTCTTTGTCTTAAGACCATTTTCAAATAGCTATAAGACTATTATATTATTAATAAAATTATTATTCAAATTAATAAGAAAAATAATAATGTAAGAATTAATAAAATAATATTTTTTGCAATAAGTTATTTTTTCACATGATTTAAAAAGATTTTTACGAGCGTCGAATTATTAATCTCTTCGGTAGATACTCGTTATTGCCGCTTGCCGTGTAGTATTACCTTGATGGCCGAGACAAAGTAGCTATAGCATATATGTCTTTCGTGATTTTAATTGACGATCGTACCGAATAGGTTACATTACTTTGGCAATTTAATTGCGATACTATGTATTATTCAGTTTGAAACTACGTTGTTAAAAAATTAAAGATTAATTATACGGCGCGCATTAAATAAAGTTGTTTGAACTAAGAATAGTAAAATTCACAATATAAAAATATTATTACGCATCTTTATATCGCGTTGGCGTTTCTTCATCTTAGTTGTTTGAAACATTTTATGGTCGATTTGCTTACATAATTAAAAATACATGAGGTAGCATAATTGTATTTGTTAGATCATGCGTCACAAGATGAGTAACACTATAAAAGCGGGTATCGTTTGCAATGTATTAAAATCTTGTAAGAAAAGTCAGTCTTTACTTTAAGAAAATCAGTAAGAAAATGCAGGAATCTAAAATTTCCTCTGTTTTTGTTTTGTTACTACTTTTATATATTTTTACTTTATTGATTTTCCCATTAAAGTTCTTGTATAAATTTTATTTTTTTTATTATAGTGCTTGTAAAAAAGCATTTTGGTATTTTTGCATAAAATTTGTATAACAGATATTTTAATACGTAATATTTTATATAATATGATTTTATCATATAAAATCATATTATCTAAAAAATGGTATAAAGTAGATAATGTATTATTTTATTCATTTCCTATCCTATCTAAAAAAAGGCATATTAAGTCGAACTCAAAATGTATCGTTATTCTCGAAATTATTGTTGACTTTTCCGCGACGCATATTGGTTCTCTCGCTGCGCTAACTTTGTGAGCGACTGTCATTGCATTGACTTTTGACAGTTGTATGTATTGAGATTGATGTGAATTGTAAGTAATAGTAAAAAGTAAAGTAAAGTTAAATAGAGCGCGCAAAGCGCTTCTGTAGTGCTAGTAGTTCTAAAAAAAAGTATGTTAAGTCGATAACTCGCATTTTTCGAAATTATTTGTTGCCGCTTTTCCGTGATGCTGATTGGTTATCTCACTATGCTTACTTCGTTGAACGGCTGTCATTACATATTTTGACAGTTATTATGTATATTGAGATTTGTTTTAGTAATATTGGAGTTAATAGCTGTCTCTTATACACATCTCTGAGCGGGCTGGCAAGG